GCAACCCTTCTGTAAGGGGATGTCCAGTTGCCTACCGATGGGCTTTGGGTCTCCACTTGGCACCCCCCCTCATTTACAATGATATGATTTTTTTGTTCTTTGATGCCTGATACCTGAGCCTATCGACCTATAATCTATGGGGGTAAGGCAAATAATCAAGAATCAACAAGTAGACATACATGGAACAAGAGATCAAAGATGGCTGGCTCCCACTAACAGTACTATTACATATGGGCAGACTTGTTTTCTTTACATACTACATTTGGCCAAAGGGCTCCCCATCTGTGTGCCAGTCACTCCAGCAAGGCTGGTGGCCCTCTGTCCATTGGCAGCCGTATACTTTCCCTACAGCCTGGGCACAGGTCCTCCAAGTCACTTTGCTGACTGCATGGTGTCAGCATAAAGAGAAGAGATGCTTCCTTTTGGGGGTTCTTATTTCTCTTCCCCTCCCTCCACAGAAAGAAAGGACCCTGTCAGGGTTTCAGTAATGCGAAGGCTCGCAGCTGAGAGCTTAACCTCTGACAGCCTCTGGCTTCTGAAGGCCTTTCCTCAGATTCCTTCAAGTTTCCAGACAGACAGAAGCCATAATGGGGCTTGAACCACTGATTGCTGCAGAGTTAGCGTAGGTCATGAGCACTCCAGGCTAGGTGCACATGCACACGGGGAAGTACATACCAAGAGAAAGTAATGAGTAGTTCTGTGTGCCATCGACCTCCCACAAAGCAATCACATAAACTTATAAATTCTACTCATGGAAACAATTTTCACTGAAGTCCATTAAAAATTAAAGAAGATTTTCCCATTAAAAATTTTTTTAATTAGCTGCCAATGCTTGCTTTATTTATTTATTTATTCATGAACTTCGTTCAGAAGAGATTTGAGGCATCTTGCAAAAAAAATGCATGCAGTACAATGGTATTAAAACTGAAGATAAAACAATAAAGCAAAGGGAGCCATGGCAAAGGGTATCGATTTGTTGCACGAAGAGAAAGTGAACCATAATTAAACACGTGAACTTGGTACTGTTAAGAATGTGACCTAGTTAGCTCAAATCAGTGCAAATCCTTTTCTGTTAAACAGGGCACACAATACACAATACGCCACAGAGTCGTCTTCTCATTTTAACGTTTTAATAATAAAGAAGGTCACTTGAATTTGGGTTAACTTAAAATTTGCGGACCACCGCCCATCAGTGTGTTATACTGTGGCGACTTCTGTGTGGCTATGATGCTGACGATGACGTCCCTCCCTGGTATTTCACATCCCAGCAGAGTCACCACGGTGCACGGGTTCCAGTGAAGCTTCTGCCCTGAGACAGCGTAGAAAGGGAGGTCTGGTAATCCACTTCTAAAAACTGGCCAGTGGAAATGTACTGATCATAACAGAATGTTCAATTTGTGTGCTTTAAACACATCTGTCTTAGGGATTGATCGGCAGAGTAAGCCATTGTGTTTGCTGAAGCAGAAGGCCACTGAGCCAAAGAGAGACATCAGTGATACAGACAGGCAAAATACCCATTCTGATGGACTTAAACATGTGGGTGCTGAGGGGCGACATTGTCCGTGAGACTGCCATGAGTTGGGGGTGACTGGAAGGCAGCTACCTCAACTGATGTGGTAAAAGACAGTGGGAAAATGTGACCCTCTTTTTTTCTGGAATCTTCCATATGCATCTAATAACTTTGCTGTGCTATCACCACACCCCAGGGAGCCCTGCAGAAAACTGGGAATAAATTCTAGGTTCCATAGGAAAACACTGTCTGAGTTTTTAGCTTCTAAAATTATTAAGCAAATTAATTTCAGACTGTATGTCAGCAACTCAGCTGGGCCTTGACTCCTTCCAGCTCTCTTTCTGAAGAGAAGAAACATCACTGGTGCAGGGAGTGGAGTCACTGGAGTGGATCATTGTTCATGACTGATGTGGGCAGATTTCTCGGACTGGTCTCTGAGGTCCTTGAGGGTAGCAAATGCATTGTAAACTTCTGATGCTTCGCCATCGAAACAAACAAACAGAAAACCTAAAGCCCTTGCTGTCAAGTCAATTACGACTCATGGAGATGCCACCATGATACAGGAGAACCGAGCTCCCTAGGTTTTTGTTGGCTGTGTCACCAGGCCTTTGTTTCATGATGCTGCTCGGGGGTTTGAACTACCAACCTTTTGTTTAGTCAATGAGTGTAAACAATTGGTGCCAGTCAGAGAGCTTGACTGCCCACTAGACCTGTTAAATGCTACAACAACTGTTTATGCTTCTGTTCATTAACTGGCTATCTTAGGACACAGACACTTTGGAATACATAGATGTGGTGGGACCCTTGATTATGTCCTCAAAGAGTGTATATCCTAATGTTGAGTGACTGAAGCCACATGAATGGAACAATAAACAGTTCTTCCGATTGGGAATGCATGGCTTGCTTTACTATTTACAGATCACTTTTATTTCTGATTTGCGAATGACTTTCGCAAGCTAACCTCTTAATATCACACAGTTAAAAACATACAAAATCGGGAATTTTAAATCAGTCTGACTACAAGCTCAGTTATCTTTTACTAGACTATATTACCTTTCCTAACATACAAGACTAGCAAGTCTGCGTGGGCCTGCTTATTTGTTTTCTTCCGAATCCCGTGTGTGGACGTCACGAAAGTGAGAGGATCTGAAGAGCCGAGAAGAGCCGCCTCTCTTGCTCCCCAGTGAGAGTCAAACTGCAGACCTACCATGTGGCTGACACTGGTGAAGGGCGTGTTATCAGTGATGGTCTCAAAGGGAGACCGGGCCCCATTGCCGTCGGTGGGGGCGGCCACTTCCCAGCTGAACTGCACCGACGTCTGGTTGATGCCGGCCTCACTGCAGCGCTCCTTCATGACGGCGTATTTAGGGAAACGAGGGTCACAGGGGGTGACACACACCAGTGGGTAGCCTGGAGACGGGGACTTCTTGATCCCATCCTTGGTAACCTCTTCTACATGGTCATAGTCAGCAAGTGTGACGACCTGCAAAATGGCAATAAAGCTTCACTCCTGGTTGGGTGCCAAGAAGGGCAGGAAACATAAAAGGATCCCTTCGCGAGACATCTCTTAACTCCTAGGGATTCTTACATCTAATAGGGTGGATTCTTGCAAACTACCCAAAGTGCCTGGTAACAATCAAAACACGATAGTGCTGGAGTGGTGGAAACGATCCTACTACCGTGTGACCTAGAAGTGTGATTATCCCGTGAATCCGAGTCTCAGATCAGAGTTCCATCCCTCATTGTGGAACCTCCTGCTGTTTGCTTGTGCACCGAAACCAAAACTTGCCGGGGGAGAGAGCTGCTAGTTTACAGCTGCATTGAGTCATTCCTGGGACGTGCCGCATAACTGGCCAAATACATACAAACAAGGGAAGCGATTCCCTCTGAAATGAATTTCTTCCAGGGTCAAAGAAGAAACACGTTTTGAGATGATCCTTCTAATATTAGAGGCCCCCATCCCCACCCCACCCCCGATGGTGGGAGAGAATTTAGAAAGCTTATTCTCACTCTCTAATTATTATGGATCAAATTTCCCTTGGAAAAGTGTAGGTATTTTCCTAATTATGAACCTGTACAATATTTATTCACCCCTAAATTATGAAATATGGCATTACATACTAATAGATAAGGAAGTATATGTGTGAAGTAAGTGTGTAGAGCAATAGGTATGGGGTATTATAAACAACCAAACCAACCCACTGGGAATCAAGTTGATTCTGACTTATATTGACCCTATCTAGAGTTTCTAAGGCTATAAGTATTTATGAAAGCAGGGAGCCTCATCTTTTTCCTTTGGAGTGGCTAGTGGGTTTGAACCACTGACCGTTCCATGCGTAGTCCAATGCTTATCTGACAGTACCATTGGAGCTCTATTATGGGATCTTCTAAAACACAAACTGATGTTGTACTTTCAAAGCCTTTATAGACTAAGTTATCCACATGGCATGTTCATTGCTTTGAAACATACAAAAACATACAGCAACTTAAAAGTTTCTACATGCACAATTCAGTGACACTAGTTATAGTCTTTAACTTGTCGTCACCCTTTTTGGTATCTTTTCCCAAATTCTTTCACCCTCATCAACACAAACACTAAGCTTCTCATCTAACCTTTCAAGTTGCTGTTGTTGATTTTATCCCATATAGATCATTCTTAAAAAGAAAACATGCTAAAGGTATTCTTTTCTAACTAAACTACTGTTTGACTTAAACATTACTTCAAGAGAGTGATCAGGTTTAAAAACTCCCTCAAGGCAATAATATCACGGGGAAAGGGGGAGCGGTGTTACATAACTTGAATGGCACCAGAGAGTCTGGTTTCTCAACATGGCTTGGCTTCACTCCTCTGTCAGAACTGGGTTTCTCGCTCTTGACATTGTGAATCTTTCAGGGCAGGTAATTCTTTGTTGTGAGAACTGCCCTGTACATTACCGAGTATTTAGCAATGCTCTTGGATTTTACCCATTAGATGCACCTCCCCGGTGACAACCTAAAATACTTTCAGACATTTCCAGCTGTTTCTTGAGTGGGAGAGCAAGATCACCCTCGGTTGTGAACTCCTTTGTTAGGAGAACACGGCAGAAGAGCAATGAAAATCGTACGGCCGTCAAGTTCTCATCTACCGGTCACCAAAGCATAGAAGCAGCACATCCTTCAGATGAAGCAACTCACGATGGGCGGTGCTGGCAATATGAGGCTCCCTGCTGCCTCCTGGTCTAGAATCGTCACGGAGGCTGTGGTCACATCCCCGAGTACCGCTTCCACAGGGTCGTCCGGGCCAAGGACGAGGGAGAAAGACTCATGCCATTCCCGATCTTCATTGGACAGGATCTCAACTTTAAAAAATATATGATCCACGCCTTCAAGGGCAGAAAAAGAGAGAGCAAAGGTGCTCATGAGGTGACATACCCAAGGGAGTGCAGGTCAGCCTCCCCCTGCCCACTCCGACCGCACATTGAAATAAGCCCTTCCTTCCAGTACCTCTGTGAATGCAGGGCTGTTCATCACTTTCCTCTCTCTCCAGTGAGGACTCTGTTTTATAGACCAAATCCTACCTGGGGTAAAGGCTGAGAATTGAAGATTTACTATTCACCACCATAGGAGGATTAATGGCCCCTGCCTGACACTAGGTGGTGATAATAAAAATCTATGATCCAAAATACACTCCACCCTCGTTACGAGGTTTTTCGCCTAATTTTTTCTTCTCCCTTTATGCTTATGCGCAAGCTCCTGTGTGGCTGGGAGCACTGACATACACAGACACCTTTCCAAGCTGTCTCCTGGGGAACAAGAGCTCAAAGGCTCCCTGCCAGTGCAATCGCCGCAAAGAGGGAAATGGAGCACGTTAGCAGCCTGGGAGATGGAGGGCTGACGCCTTAGAAACTTCCTTCCTTTTCTGTGGAATGGTCCTTTGAAGGTTCAAATAACCTGCTTATAGTCACAGGTCTCCTTATTTGCTTCCTATGAGAAGCAAATAAGTTACTTCTAAGGCCTAGCTTTCCCTCACAGAGGCATACAAGTCGACGTGGATGAAGAGCCTCTACCTTCCCTGCACACAGCAGCTGACGTACAGGGGATGGAGCTGAAAGCCCTTTGAAGCTCTAGAAATGTGAGAGAGAGATGCAAAAGCTCTTTGCTCATTTCTGAAGCAAGTCACCCTCTCCCTCCATGTCCCAAGACATCCAGGCAAAGACCTGTTACCACCGTTGCCCACGTCAGGCTATGTTACTAACGGTGGCTGAACTTACCTCACCCTAGGGAGGCGACAGAAAGTTCCATGAACACACCCAGTATATCATTCATTTATATAGTGTCCACCCAAATTATGTGTTGGACTTCTAACCTCTACAGCTGTGGATGTCATCCAGTTTGGGAAAGGGGTTTTTGTTCTGCTAAGGAGGCCAATGTATTCACTGTTCTTGTTAGATGCTGCTCAGTCAGTTCTGCATCATAGTGGCCCAGCAGACAACACAGTGAAACATTGCCCAGTCCTGTGCCATCCCCAGAAAGACTGTGATGCCTTAGCCTGCCGTTGAGCCCGTGGCATTCCATCATGCTGAGTGTCTTCTTTGTTTTCACGACCCGCTCCGGTACCAAACATGATGCCCTTCCTCCAGGGACTGGCCTCTCCTGATACCATGTCCCAGTAAGGGAAACAAAGTCTCACCATTCTCACTTCAAAGAAGCATTTTGACT